GCCTGGAGGAAACCCAGAAATGTCCGACTTCTAAGAGAATATCTGATCACTACCACACAAGTGAGGCCACGAGGGTTGGATATGATGCCATTAGGACCTCCTGGGTCATACATTTCCACCATGTTGGCCACCTCCTTGAGAAACGTAAAACTCTAGAGCCGCCTCTGCTTACAGCAGTTTATAGACTGGAGTCCAATATGGACCTACATTGATCTCTACGTCTGACACTAGGGGCCCATTCTTCTGTATTTCTCACTGGTTGGGTCCCCCAGAGGCCCCCAAGGGATCAGCTGGGATGTAAACACTGGAGGTCCAGTCCATTCCGATGCTAAACAGCCTTATTTGGTCACAGGTAGGTCTGGTGGGTCCTATACATTTACCAGGACCCAGGACCTAGGTCCCAGGTCCATCCAAAGCCCACTTAGACTTCTGAAGAGTTTATTTGTAGAGCTGATTAAGCTTTGAGTGAGCAAATGGCGTCAGAGAGAGGAGACTAAGAGGGCTTTGTATGGACCTGGGACTGGGAGAACTGCAAGAACGGAGCCCGATGTTGTTTAACATTGGGGGCACACTAATGACATTTACTGAGAACATTTATTAATGACCACATGTCCCCTTTAAGGGAGATCCCACCATTATATATTATTATTTACTGAGAACGCTCATCACACGGCACCCGAATGTTGTGTTTTCGTTGTGTGGTTTTCCCTTTGTGTGTTAGCATTGGTTTCTGAGGCGCGTTCTGCAAACATTATTGCGTTTTCCACTTTAGTAGTCTCTATATTTCCGTTGCTCAAACACCTTCAGAATACAACACCCCACGTGTGTAGAGTTCAGCATCAGGATTCATGCGTTGTGGTTTCCGTCGAGAAGGAAGCGGAGGAGAGATGCCTCGTGACACCACAACCTGCAGCGTGAGCCAGAACCGGGGTAAACTTACACAAGATCCTCCGATAAGGAAACAAGTCAGCACAATCCATCCCCCACCATGACCTCTATTCAGGGGATGAGGAACGAGGACGGAAGGCTCGGCTGTCATGGCCGAGACCACACCTAGGAACAAAGATGGCGTCTTGTGCCGCCAGTATCCGGGGCTCCTTACCAGAAGGGTCTTGGCCAGGATGTTCTCTATCAGTTTGAAGTCGTTCCGTAGCTGCTTGCTCTTGGAGCTCGTCCCCTCCATCTCCTCGTCGGCGTGGAATCGGAAAAACTGGGATTCATCTTTGAACTCGCTCTTCTCCAAAACTGAGAAGACAAGATGGTGACATATTATTATACAGAGGACAGCATGAGCTGTTCAAAGACTACGAGGTGAGCTGATAATATAATGATACACACATTGAACGGCGGGCAATCTTGGCACGGGAGCTGTGGTGGAACTACAAATGTCTCAGACTGCAGGAGTCATGCATGTGGCTGTCTTGCATTGCCTCATAAGACTTGTAGTTCCACAAAAGATTCAGTGCCAAGGTTGCCTACCCCTCATATAGGGCCTGTGTTAGTGGGCCCATTCTATGCAAAACCAGATTGCAGCAAATTGATGCAGTTCAGGAGAAGGTCAACTTTAGGACAGAAAGAGGTCAACTGTAGGACAGAAGGAGGTCAACTGCAGTTCAGGAGAAGGTCAACTGCAGGACACGTGGGAGGTCAACTGCAGGATGGAAGAAAGTCAACTGCAGGACAGAAGGAGGTCAACTGCAGAACAGAATGAGGTCAACTTTAGGACAGAAAGAGGTCAACTTTAGGACAGAAAGAGGTCACCTGCAGGACAGAAGGAGGTCAACTGCAGGACAGAATGAGGTCAACTTTAGGACAGAAAGAGGTCAACTGTAGGACAGAAGGAGGTCATCTGCAGGACAGAATGAGGTCACCTGCAGGACAGAAAGAGGTGAACTGCAGGACAGAAAGAGGTCACCTGCAGGACAGAAGAAGGTCAACTTTAGGACAGAAAGAGGTCACCTGCAGGACAGAAGGAGGTCAAATTTAGGACAGAAAGGTCACCTGCAGGACAGAAAGAGGTCACCTGCAGGACAGAAGGAGGTCAACTGTAGGACAGAAGGAGGTCAACTGTAGGACAGAAGGAGGTCAACTGTAGGACAGAAGGAGGTCAACTTTAGGACAGAATGAGGTCAACTTTAGGACAGAAAGATGTCACCTGCAGGACAGAAGGAGGTCAAATTTAGGACAGAAAGAGGTCACCTGCAGGACAGAAAGATGTCACCTGCAGGACAGAAGGAGGTCAAATTTAGGACAGAAAGAGGTCACCTGCAGGACAGAAAGAGGTCACCTGCAGGACAGAAAGAGGTCACCTGCAGGACAGAAGGAGGTCAACTGCAGGACAGAAGGAGGTCAACTGCAGGACAGAAGGAGGTCACCTGCAGGACAGAAGGAGGTCAACTGCAGGACAGAAAGAGGTCAACTGCAGGACAGAAGGAGGTCATCTGATGCCATCCATAGATGAGCAATGTCCCGGCACCCCTCATCAGACAGCAGCCATCACCTACACGATGAAGGGTCCCTGTGAGGTCCCGCAATGTTGCTCATCTATGTGATCCATGCTTTAATGACAGATCTGTTTCTGGAGCGAAGGAGAGGATGAGGGTCTTTGGGGTGCTGCTCACTCTGATAAGGGGGGGCACTGAGGAGGTCATATCTCTCATAAGGGGGGCACTGAGGAGGTCACATCTCTGATAAGGGGGGGACTGAGGAGGTCACAACAGTTCAGGAGAAGGTCAACTGCAGGACACGTGGGAGGTCAACTGCAGGATGGAAGAAAGTCAACTGCAGGACAGAAGGAGGTCAACTGCAGAACAGAATGAGGTCAACTTTAGGACAGAAAGAGGTCAACTTTAGGACAGAAAGAGGTCACCTGCAGGACAGAAGGAGGTCAACTGCAGGACAGAATGAGGTCAACTTTAGGACAGAAAGAGGTCAACTGTAGGACAGAAGGAGGTCATCTGCAGGACAGAATGAGGTCACCTGCAGGACAGAAAGAGGTGAACTGCAGGACAGAAAGAGGTCACCTGCAGGACAGAAGAAGGTCAACTTTAGGACAGAAAGAGGTCACCTGCAGGACAGAAGGAGGTCAAATTTAGGACAGAAAGGTCACCTGCAGGACAGAAAGAGGTCACCTGCAGGACAGAAGGAGGTCAACTGTAGGACAGAAGGAGGTCAACTGTAGGACAGAAGGAGGTCAACTGTAGGACAGAAGGAGGTCAACTTTAGGACAGAATGAGGTCAACTTTAGGACAGAAAGATGTCACCTGCAGGACAGAAGGAGGTCAAATTTAGGACAGAAAGAGGTCACCTGCAGGACAGAAAGATGTCACCTGCAGGACAGAAGGAGGTCAAATTTAGGACAGAAAGAGGTCACCTGCAGGACAGAAAGAGGTCACCTGCAGGACAGAAAGAGGTCACCTGCAGGACAGAAGGAGGTCAACTGCAGGACAGAAGGAGGTCAACTGCAGGACAGAAGGAGGTCACCTGCAGGACAGAAGGAGGTCAACTGCAGGACAGAAAGAGGTCAACTGCAGGACAGAAGGAGGTCATCTGATGCCATCCATAGATGAGCAATGTCCCGGCACCCCTCATCAGACAGCAGCCATCACCTACACGATGAAGGGTCCCTGTGAGGTCCCGCAATGTTGCTCATCTATGTGATCCATGCTTTAATGACAGATCTGTTTCTGGAGCGAAGGAGAGGATGAGGGTCTTTGGGGTGCTGCTCACTCTGATAAGGGGGGGCACTGAGGAGGTCATATCTCTCATAAGGGGGGCACTGAGGAGGTCACATCTCTGATAAGGGGGGGCTGAGGTCACATCTCTGATAAGGGGGGACTGAGGTCACATCTCTGATAAGGGGGGGACTGAGGAGGTCACAGTGTCAGACGCTTGCAGGCTACCGTACAGCAGAACTAGATCTGAAAGAGGGAGAAGCAGCACAAGGGGCCAATCAGTCGTGCTGCATCTCCTTTCACTGTCCAATCACAGGCTGGGGGAGGGACAAGACCTGTAAATGTTACTGAACTGCAGCAGCTAAAAATCCTGTCTCCTGCCCTGCCAGACAGAGCTGCACTGTGTGGCAGAGCTGTGTAAGTCTCAGGACGGGATGGTCGGAGATACAAATCCTATGGAAGGTAAAGCAGCTCTCAGGTTTGGTCTCTGCAGGCCCCCGTACACAGGTCTGAGCGGGCAGCGGCTCAGCATTTAGCAAGGTTCCTTTAGCTTACCATGATGCATGAATCCGTTGTTGCAGAGCCCCACGCCCAGAGTGACGGCCTCCTCTCGCGTCTGACAGTCGCCCTAAAAACAACACGACACCCGTTAACGTTTC